TTTCTCAGCTGGCTGGAGATTATGGCTGTTGGGAGTTTACCCTGTGTCTAGAGGACATTTGATGGAGAAGAACTGAAGGGGATAAAACTTTTTCAACCTCTAACTTCCCAATGTTTTTGCAAAGCAGATTAAAAGAAGTCTGTGGGAAATAAAACCCATTTATTTGTCAAGCGCCAAGCCAGGTTGGCACTACCCTTCATCTGAAACCAGCGGCCTTGAAGGAAACACATTCACTTTAAATGTAATATCATAGGATACCATCTAAGACCTCATCCAGCCGAAAAGGCCCGATTAAATAACTCCTTACCCCAAAAAAGCAGCCAGATCGGTTAGTTGCAATGTCTGAATCTTGCACTTAACTTTCCGGGCCTCCCACAACATTAAGACTCAGAGATGCGGCTGTTCTGAATAGTCTAAGCACTTATCGAAAGAAAGCAGGCTATTGCCCATTCCCTGTTGACTCGGAAGGACCGACAGCGTCCCGAGAAACTCCCCCCCCTCTCTTCCTCCTAAAAATAAACGAATGCTGGTTCCTTTCTTTCCACTGGAAATCTTGACCGTCGCTGAAGTGAGAGAAGGAAGCGGCTTGGCGAAGATGAAGCGTCTCTTCCGAATTCATTCCCGATCCTGAAGTCTCTTTGCTCCGAGGCTCAGCCCCATCCCGCGCGTGGCGTCGGATGGAAGAGCTTCCGGGTCTCTTCCGACTGGTTGCGGGAGGGTGGGTCGGTGGGGGAGCCATATGGCGCTCTCCTTGAGCGAAAGCCCAGCGACTGGGCGGCAGTGGGGCTGATCAAAGCGAGGCGCGACCTCCAGCTGAGATCTCCTGTTCCTCGATTGTGCGGGATCACACGCAGCCCGGCCAAGATGGGAGAGGTCGGAGGAAAGAGAGCCCGCATTGGAGAGCCCATTGTTACTTCGGTGGCCAAACCAGCCAAAGTAAAAATAGGCAGGAAAAGAGAGGGGAGCGGGAAAGGGGGTGGGTAGGAAAGAGAGAGAGAGAGAGAGAGAGAGAGAGAGAGAGAGAGAGAGAGAGAGAGAGAGAGAGAGAGAGAGAGAGAGAGAGAGAGAGAGAGAGAGAGAGAGAGAGAGAGAAAACAAGGGCACTGTTGTCCTCATGGTGACCAGGGCACTGTTCTCCTCATGGTGACCAGGTATGCTGCTTCAAAATCTGGAGTCAAACCCCTTTGGTTTTCAGGCTTTATTTCTTCCATCTTGCCTGCCTATCCTGCCTGAATTTCTCTTGGAATCAAACTTTTGCTGAATGTCACAGGGCTTATGTTTGAGTAAACGCAGTTGAGGGAGTGTGCTGCCGAACTGGAGACCTGGGGTAAGCAAATAGCTTTGCGGACCCTCGCCATTCTTCCTTTCCCAAAATTTTCCTCCTAAAGCTGAGGACAACTGGAGAATAGCTTGGTTGGATCCAAGCCCCCCCCCTCCTCCCCCCCCCAAAATAAGAACCTCTGAGGTGGCTGCATTGTCGGGTAAGGAGAGGGATAAAGAAGGCAGCAGCAGCAACAACAGTTATAATACAATGCGTTTATCAGGTTTTCAAACTGGTTTAGAAAAAGGAGAAAACCTCTTTGAGCCCAATACCGGTTAGCAGCAGAAACCTCACTGTGTACAATAGGGCTTATGTGTGTAAGTAAACAGGCATGGGCTCTACTGTTGTGCCAGACTTAATAGGACTACTACTCTGGAAAGTGAATAGGATTGCAGCATTGCGTGCATGCTAGAGACACATATGTGTGTGGGCAGGTGTAAGCATCAGAGTGGCAACAACTTACAAAATTGCGTTCTTTGTCCCTGTACTCCTGATTGGACCTTTCTTTAATTTAAGGAAAATTATTTAAAAATTAGGGATGTAGACCTGTGCATACATGGGATACATGGAATTCACAGATATTTGCCAAGGAACATGTCCTGGTGTTGAGTTCCACTAATAAGGGCAAATACGTTTTTCAATGGAAATAAACTCACTAAATGGGATCTCGGCATAGCTTGAACATATTTTATATTAATAAGCTCCTCCAAACAGAGGCCTGCTTTTCGCAGACCACCTTCAACACTCATGGCAGGATAAATACACCAATGCTTAATTTTTTAGTCCAAGGATTTAGTTCAGCATTATAATCTGAATATAAACATGTACAGTCCTGAACCACAAATGTACAAAAAAAACATGGTCACATACTAACCAGCTAGTCCAATAAAAATACTGCATGCATTGGGAAACATTTGAATACCCCCGCCCCTCCCAAGAGTAAGAGTTAATTTTCCAAATATATTGTGAATATAACTTCATTTCAAGGGAGGTATAAATTGCACCAGAAACAGGATTTAAACTGCTTGTTTTCCTATTGCCCCACTAATATGGCGAGTTAAATTCCATTAGTAGCAAACCTCCTAAGAAATGTACTCCTAACCTTTTTCATCAAATACAACAGATTGTATTTGTGCAGAATTGTTTGCAAGGTTAATAGCCATTATCCACTAAGGTGTTAGCCTTCAGAACTATAAGACTAGATTAGGTTCAGAATAAACAACATTCTATACTTGGGGAGTGGGGGTGTAAAAATCACAAAGAATCCCATTCCAGAATTTACTTTTAGACTAAAAAGCCTCAGTCCACTGAAGAAGAAAGTCAAAGTAACTCCTTTTTTAATGCTATGATTCTAAAACTCAACACATTTCATTTCCCACTAAAATCAATACAAATATTCCCATTGATACAATCATTACAGGTATGTTTCATGCCAAGGTACTTACTAGAATTTCATTCCTAAATAACAGAAAGGGATCAGTATGAGATTCATTTAAGAGAATTCCCTCTTAAAACTGCAGTTGCTAAAGATTAGCTTATTCTACAAGCCCTCACCCTCAAACTGAAATAAACTTTGGTGTGCTTGAAGAAAGGAAGATCTATTGTAGGGAAATCCCTAATTCTTAGGGTTTTTTATATTAAAGTAAATATTTTAGTTTGTGACATTTTTAGTAGAATTGGTCCAATATTCAATAAGTTTAATAAATTTTTAATATAGATCTAATAAGGTGACTCTTTGGAATAAGGTGACAGAATTCACAGTTCTGTCATTGTTCTCATAATATATTGCCTTGCCTGGAGAGGGGGAAAAACTGCCAACAATTCCCTTTGTTTACCCCTGTCTTCCTCTTTGAACCCTAGGTTCATTTTTAACTGGCTTAGAAGTAAATAGTCTTTCAATAATGGAATAAAGTAAAAGAAAATAACCCAAATCCACTCATTGATAATATTTGATTTATTTAAAGTCCTTAATTGGAAATGATAAAAAAAAAATTAAAAGGAGAAGGGGAAAAACATGCTCCATGGCTTATATTTTCATAAAAAAAAACCCCCAAAAAGAACCAAAACATTTTTTTTCAATTACAATCACATTTATTATAAAATTAAGATTTTTATTTGCTTTAAAATGGTGTGTCATTTTAAAACCGTTTATTTAAAGCACTTTCAAGCTGTCAAGAAGAAAGTATAAACCGTGCAAATAAATTAAGAATATTGTAAAGGCAAACGGGGGCGGGGGAGGAGAGTGAGAGAGAAGGGAACCAAAAAGGGGGGAGAAACCCGTTTGGCTATGGTAAAACGTCATGTAAAAACTGTAGAAAGTGCATTAACACTGGATGAACTGCTAACAACGGTAGAGTAGAATTAAGCGACCTCAAAAAAAAAATAAAATAAAATAAAATAAAATTCAGGAAGGTGGTGGCTGATCTGATGAAAGCAGTCTAGGCCAGGGAGCATCTCCCAGTTCAGAATATTCTTCGAGGAGGCAGGGCTGGAACAAAAATAGTCATAGAGTTCTGGAACTCACGGAGGGGTGGGGGTGGGGGCAGATTCTGAGATTAAATAGATGTAGTCCCGATGCTGAAGGAGACTCCTTAGTAACAGCTTGTGGGAAAACGGGTGGGTGGGTTTGGAAATAATAGTAACGTGCCTTAAAAGGCTGTGTGACCTGTACAGTTCGGTATCCTATCCAGATCCCATTGGAAATGCAGGAGACCCTTTCTCTATTCCACTTGCCATCTGTGCTCTGCCCCTTTACAAGGCGGGGGGGGGGGGTTCCGGGACCTGTCACCCGTGCTTCCCTGGGGTCAATGTGTCTGTGAGGGAGGGAGGGGGGGGGCGAGTTCAGCAAATGCCCTTTCCCTAAGTCTCAAAGCAGGGCCAAGTTCTCCCTCTCTGCGCTGCATCCTTCAAAGGGTCGGACTCCTAATCTAATGTCAACTCTCCGCCCGGCTCTTTACCTGTATACCGGGAAGAGTCACACGCAGGCCAGCAAGTCCGGGGCTCAACTTCGACCTACTGAATCCACTTCGGGCCTGGGAAAACCCCGCACAAGGCAGAGGTTTCCCAGAAGCCACCCACGCGCGGAGGAGAGCGGCGCGGGCTGCTTGGGGTCGAGACTCGGCTTTCTCCCCCCCCCCCGCCACTCCAAGCGGAGGCCTCCCTTTTCCTGTGGAAAATCCCCCCACCTCCCCCAATTTGGGCGAGGTGGCTTCAAAGGAGAAAAGGCGGGGAAACGCAACCACTCAAATTCTGAGTTTCAAAACGGGAGGCTCGCTCGCTTGCTTCGTTCAGTGGCCAAGGGTGGCCTACACGGGGCTCGTAGAGAGAGGAGGGCCGGGCTGTGGGATTTGCTGGACTTGTCAAGCCGAAACCGGGAGAAAGGGGGACGCACTGGCGGCGGGCATTATCCGAGCCACCCCCGAGGATAAAGTAACAGTCCTTTCGCTTCTTGCGCGTGTTCCGTTTGCCTTTCTGTTTTCCCCACGCACGGATCGCGGGCTGGAGGTGGGAGGGGGCGGAGGCAAGCCGACGGTTTGCAGTTTGGGCAGAAATCTAAGGGCAGTGTTTCTCAACCTTGACCATTTTAAGGCATGAGGACTTCAACTCCCAGAATTCCACAGCCAGCATTGCTGGCTGTGGAATTCTGGGAGTTGAAGTCCACATGCCTTAAAATGGTCAAGGTTGAGAAACACTGATCTAAGGAGAGACACAGACAAGGAGGGAAGGAGGGAGGGAGGGAGGGAGGGGGGATTCCGCTCGCTTGACCCTCCAGTCCCACCCGGCCGGCTAAGAGGTGTTCAGTACCGGTCTGGAATACACACCTTGGTAGTAGGAGGGCTCCAGGGCCGAGGGCTCAATGGCTCCCCTCCCGCCCATGGAGGCGCTGCTGAGGGGCAACCCGCCGGGCAGGCCGGCCCCGTAGGAGGAATATTGCAGCGCTTGCTCGTAGGCTTTGAAGTCCAGCTTGTGCTGCTGTTCAGAGGAGGACATGAGGTTGTTGATGGAGAAGGGGTGGTTGAAAGAATAGTGGGGGTCGCCCTTCAGGTGCAGCTGCGGCTCGTGGGGTCCCAGCGCGTGGCCCGGGTGACTCAAGGGGGCCAAGGCGGGCCCGCCGGGGACCGAGGCGGCCACTGCAGCCGCCGCTGCCGCCGCGGCGGCCACGGAGGGCTTCAGCTCGGCTCCGGTCCCGTTTTGGCCCAGGGCTTGCGGGCTGCCGGCGCCGGGGTTGGACGGGGCGGCCTCGAGCTGCCCACCTTTGGCTTGGCCTCGGTGCGAGGGAGAGCCGGCCCCGCCCGGGTCTTTCCTTCCCTCGCCTCCGCCTGATCCGCCCTTGGGCCCGGCTTGCTTTTCGCACTTGAAGCGCTTCTGGCGCCGGAGGTAGCAGCCGTTCTCGAACATGTTGCCCGAGTCCGGGTGGAGCGTCCAGTAAGAGCCTTTGCCCGGCTTATCCGGCGAGCGGGCCACCTTGACGAAGCAGTCGTTGAAGGAGAGCGAGTGGCGGATAGAGTTCTGCCAGCGCTGCTGGTTCTGCCGGTAGTAAGGGAAGAGGTCCATGATCCACTGGTAGATCTCGCTCAGCGTCAGCATCTTGCTGGGCGCCTGCTGGATGGCCATGGTGATGAGCGAGATGTAGGAGTAGGGCGGCTTGGCGTGCGGGTAGCTGCGCTTGAAGCTCTTGGCGTCGCGGCCGCGGCTCAGGTTGGAGGAGGCGTAGCCCATGGGACTCATGCAGGGCCCCATGGCCCCGTAGGCGCCCAGTCCGTTCAGCGAAGCCTGCGGGCCGCCCATCGCGTTCATGCCGCCGGGACTCAGCGCCGACCCCATGGCTGACATACTGTTCATGCTGGCTCCGGTTCCGCCGGGACTCAAGCCGGGCCCCAGGCTGGGGTTGGCGTAGGACATGTTGAAGGAGCCCGAAGTCATGTTGCCGCTGGTGGTCATGGCGTTCATGCTCATGTAGCTGTTCATGGAATTCATGGAGCCCAGGCCGGAATTCATGTTGCTCACTGGCACCGTGGAGTAGGCCTGCGGAGGGAGCACGGGTTAATCAAGCTGGCTCTTCCGACCCTCCCGCCCTGCCGCCCGCGCACCGTAGGATCCCTCGTTCCCCACCGTGTGAAGGTCTCATACATGGCCCCCGAATTTCCCCTTAGAGCAGTGTTTCCCAAACTTGACAATTTTAAGGCATGTGGACTTCAACTCCCAGAATTCCACAGCCAGCGTTGCTGGCTGTGGAATTCTGGGAGTTAAAGTCCTCATGCCTTAAAATTGTCAAGTTTGGGAAACACTGCCTTAGAGAATGCATGCCTCGTGCAGCCAGCCTTCCCCGTTCAGAGGAAGAGCAAATCCAGGCTTCCCAAGCCTGGGATTCCGCAGAAAGGGAATCCTTGTGGCCCAGCTTTGTCCCCGAGAGCATTCCGAATGAGTGCTAAGTTTCCGCACTGTCAGTTGCTAAAAAAAATAAAAAATATATAAAAAAAAATAAATCTGGAGAAGTGACAGAAAAGATACATCCGTATTATTCACAGAAAGAAATGGCATGCATCCGAAATAGGTAGGCGGATATAATAACGATGATAATAATATAAACATTTTGGCTGCATTGGCCAAAATTTGGGAGCTTTGGGAGATGGTGGTACTAGAAACATATAATTATGCATCACAGAGGGGAGGCTTCACAGGCTTCCGCAGGCAGGCTGCGGTGCCTTTACAGAAAGGAGGGTAGTTTTACTCAGGGCCAAATTTCCAGAGCTGGAAGGGGTCCTGTTTGCCCCTTGCACAAACCGCAACTGTGATTTAAGGAAGGGTTGGACTAAGAGCTCCGATTAAAGATCTGGAGAGATGTGGAGAACATCCGCCCCAAACCCCAAGGCGGGAGCAGATTGGAAACGAAAAATCTGCAAGGCCCAAATTTTCACCCGCCTTTTTGGCCAAACAGCAACAGTTCCCAAATCGGGGGCAGCCTCCAAACCTGTTTCCCACTTGGTTGGAGGCCCGTGCCGGTTGTTTGTTTTGTTTTGTTTTTCAAAATCTAAAGGCAGTGAAAGCAAACCAAGGTTCTCCTGAGCTGCTCAGAATCGCATCTGAAGAGAGCGAGGCAGACCCTCTTCGCACCGAGACGGCCCACTGCCTCAGCCCCACTCATCGCAACAGGCCCCGGGAAAGGGCAAGGGCGCAGCGCCAGCGGCCTAAACCACAAAAGCCGGGTCTTCCCAGCTCCTCGCCGTTCCCGAGGGCGCCCGAGAGAAGCCGAGGCCTTCACAACCCGCGACGGCTCCCCGAAGCCAGGAAAGCGAGATCGCCGCTTTTTCTCAGCCCCGCGTCCCCTCGCGCCCCTTCGCTTGCTCTCCCCAGCTTTTCCTCCGGCGGGGAATAACCTGGGCAACATTGTTAGGAGCCGCTTTTCTCCCAGGGCCTTGGCTGGTCCCTGCTAAATCGGGAAGCTTTCCTTAGGAGGAAGAACGATAATTTCGGGGAAGGGGACCGGGGGTGTCCAAAATCAAACAAATGGTCCTGAAATTTAGGGCCAAATTCTTCTCTTTGCCTTGCAGTCTAGACGTTTTGACTCACTGGTAAAGGACAGGTCGACAGGCCAAAGTTTTTCGAGGTTTAAATCAAAGATACAGCCCGCAAGGCGCCTTAAGAAGGCTAAAGAATAATTCTTGGAAAGGATTAAACTTTTCCCTAAAAATCGAATTATTAAGCCATTGATTTACTTTATTAACCCATATTGAAAACTGTTGGGGAAGGGCTGTGCCTTATAAACTCGTTGCTTAATTAGCTTTGTAAATATTGCCTATATTTGAACTATATTGTGTGGACTATATTGTCCCACGATGTTACGATTATAGTTTTGTATTATTGGAAATATATCAAGGAATGGTGATATTTGAATGATAGGCTATGTCCACAATAGTGCTTGCTTAGGCGGAAATGTCAATATGGGGAAAGATGCCTGCTATTTTTAAATTCTAGGAACCAAATCCAGCCTAGGAAATCAGTGCCGTCTACCATTAATTGGGGGGAAAATGTCTTCATGAGCACATGCATAGTTTGTTACTAAATACGGAAGTAATAGGAATGTGCTAAATTCCTTTCACTCTAAAAACACTTCCTTATAAAACAGAGTTTAGGTTTAGGGAGAGCAGGCAAATTCTTGTTTGCCGACCCAAGAGTCCACATTTGCCTAAGACGGTCGTTTGATTTTCTCTCCCACCCCACTGGAATACCGGTGAGGCGGGAAGACGCATCCAATGAGTCTCAACCTCTTTCTGAGCCCCCTTTGACCCCTAGCATTAAATTAGAAGCTCCTCTTTAAAAAGGGGCGAAACAAAATGCGGCTAGCATTTTTTTAACCACCGGCTGCATTTGCCGCGCAGCAACCCCGGATCATAATTCCTGTAAAGCCGCGCAAAGCAATTCCCGTTCCTGCACGCGCTTCAGACTATTTTACGTCTCATCGGGTTGCTTTCTTTTTCACTTTATACATTGCTACGTTTCCTGGGTGGCAGCTTATTAATTTTATGTCCCGCCTTTAGTCACGGAAAGGCTCCATTTATTCCCTCAGTTAGGGGGTTCACAGGTTCCTCCACCCTTCTTGTTCCTTCGCCCGCTTTTGATCCTTTTCTTTCAGCTCTTTGGAGCATATTGTAAAAATAAGGAACGTGGACATGAATGGACAATGAAAAGTTAGGCTCCTGGTTACGGAGTCGGATCGCATTCTCGACAGCGCCACCCGCCGGGCTCCGGGAGAATTGATTTCTGCTTTATTTTTTAATCTCTAACCCCCCACCCCCCTCACCCCCAACTCCGCGAAAGAAGCGTGCGGCAAAGTACACACACACACAAATGGTTATTTTTGCCTAGCTGAAGAACAATGCTGGCACAGGTGAGGGGTGGGAAGGGGACCAAACTAAACGTGAAACGTGCTTCCCGAGGGGGCTCGCGATGATTGTTCCCTCCCGCACGTACACAAACCAAGGCCCTACATGGAGGGACTCTGGAGCGGTTGGGAGGACCTGGAATTTAGGACTCTGCCGCGTTTCGACGCGCAATCCGAGGAGGTGATCAATAAGATCTTCCTCCCTCACCCCCGCCGGCTCGATGTCCCCCCCCCCCCACCCCGCATTTCCGCCGCGCTCGCCCCCCCCCAGTTGCCCCGTGGGACGATTGGAAATTCTGTTGATTCCTTCCCGGGCTTTGCAGCCAGCTGTAACACTGGAGAAGGCAGGTTTAAGGCACCATCAGGAGCGCGCGCTTAGGCTTGATTCCCGGGAGTGGGAAGACCCTCTTCTTGGCTGAAGCCCTCCCGACCTGTTGTCGGATCCCCACCCTCTCACCCCCCCCACCCCCGGGTCCGCTCACCTCCTGAGTCTCGGCGTAGTAACTGTTCCACTCGCTTGCGTCGTGCCCTTCCATTTTCACAGTCCCTAACATCCTGGAGTCAACGTGCGCGGTGAAATCATTCAGTCCCCTCTTGGCGAGCGAAAGAGAGGCCAGAAAACAGAGCCCCCCCGAGTCTAGCAGGAAGCCGGCCCCCGGGGAGGGCTCAGTCGAGCAGGGACGTTGGGTGGCGGCGAGCCACTCGAGAAAGTGAGGAAGTGCCGGCTGGGATGTGAGCGGAGTTGAGCTGAGGTGGATCTTACGTTGCACCAGCCGCCGCCGCCGCCGCTGCCGCCGCCAAAGCAGCGCCCACCTCCTTCTCCTCCTCCTCCTCTTCCTCCTCCTCCTCCTCCTCCTCTCCCCATTTGTCCGCCGCACAAAGACGTTCGCACCTACCAAGCCGCAGATGCACCTGCAGAGCAGGCAGTTCCACTCGGCTTGCAACTCCCCTGGGGCGTCTCTTTATTTGCAAAGCGGTGTAATTGGTTTATGCGGGATGGCGACGGGGGGGGGAGGAAGGACGGCGAGCGCCAAGGAGGTAAAAAAGAAAGAATTGGGGCGGGAGATAGAAGGGGAAGAAACAAACCCAGAGGAAAGGAGGGGGAGGCAGGAAGGAAAGGGGGAGGACAAGCCTTTGGTTTTAACTCCTCCCGCCGACCGGCCCGCCCGCCCGCCCGCCCGCTGCCACTGGTGGGGGGGGGGCAATTCCAGGGAAAGGCGGCACTCCCGTCTGTGTTCAAAGAGCAGACGCACGACCCCTGCGTAGGAGCTGTTCTGTCGGTTCGGACGCTTCTTTCCAGAAGGGGAGCAGGGCGGGTGGCTGCAGTTAAAACCAAGCCAAGAGCCCTGGGTTATCTGGGCGACTTCTCCTTAAGTGGCCGTTCTGTTAGGCTGCCGTTCTTTAGCAAAAGCGTTAACCTTTCTCGGTCGCGCTTGGACTTTGGGGGCAGGGGCTGCGGTAGGGACAGCAGCAGCAGCAGCAAGTTGGGTGCTAAGCATTGTCCCCCTCCTTCCAACGATGCGTAAAAGTCGAAGGGCAAGAGGCGGTTTGGGGAACTGGTCCCCCTTCAACAAAATAAAGCGCCCCTCCTTGCAAAGGGGAAAAATCCGTACACTAAAATGTAACCTTGCCTGGATCGGGGTCCTACATTATAGCTCTCCCCCTCCCCTCTCCTTCTCCCCGGACAGGCAGAAACATAATACAATAGAATTCGTGCCATTTGACAGGGAAAATCTGCTCTGGAGGAAAGTTTCAGCAAACCCCCCCCCCAAATCATTTGGGCATTATATTCTTTCTTTCGGGCAGAAGCACCGGCTGGATAAATGAGTCACTACTGTGACGTTCAGCCAGTCCAGGCCCGGCGCACTGAGGTCTGAACGGTGGATCTCTTGGCCTGAAACCTCCGCTTGGCAAGGGGCCCAGGTGAGTCATTCCGACCATTTTCATTGCTTTCTTCCTCCCGCTCCAGCCCCGCGCCTTGACTGGAAATCGTCACCGTAGGAACCGCCTGGGCGAGTCAATAACAGGTGATTGCCACGGGAGATTTGGCGACTGAGCCAGAAATGGCTGTGGGGCACAAATCTTCGGTTGTCCTCCTGCCATTGCTTTAGACCAGGTGGAGATCTTCTCTTGCACATTTACGCCACCCCGTCTAACCTTGTTCTGCAAGGGGCATCTCTACTCTCCTGAAATCAGGTGGCCCATGGCACACCGAAGTCCTGCGGTTGGCTTGATGGAGGCCTCCCAGCATCAAAAGTTACGAAAACGTGCAGTCTTACTTGCTCTCCCCAGAGTTGGTGGCAAGCAAGTGGGTTGGGGAATAATTTCGTGGGTAGAAACTAAAGCAAGCAACTCGGGAGGATTTAAAAGTGGGTCTTGGAAGATCTTGATTTTCCGTGGGTTGAATCCAAGCTTAAGTATAATTGGCCTCCCTCTCGTTGACTTCAGCAGAATAAAATAATTTAATCGGGATCCAAAGCCAGACTATTTACAGTACAGTACTACCAGGTGGACATTTCCTCCGAGTAGCTACCTTCATTTTTCAGATTTCTGAGCAGCCCATCTCACTCAAGGACAAAGCAGTCTGCTCAGAGTTGAGGAACAATGCATAGATAGTGCATAGAAGACTGTGGCTTATCCACTTAACACATTCCTTGTCCTTTATACCCTTAAACGCCCCCACTCGCGCCTAATGGCAGTCCTAATCAACAGTTATGCTGCAGTGTAAGCCACTTGGAGAAAATAAGGTTCTCTGAACTGAACTCCAGATATGGATCGGTGCCAGTAGAGCCCATTGGCTCAAGGGCTGTAGGTGAGGTTGCCGGTTAAATTGGCTGGAAGCCAAGTATTTAATTTTGCCAGGCTTGAGTGGACGCTGTTCTTCCAACCTGCGGCCTTTTCACTGGAATCCACATTTTGTGTTTACCTGGATGTACTATCTCTGAAATAGGTGAGAGTTCTGGGCATTCCCCAAATTTGAGCATCTTTAAGGAAACGTGCAGGGAAACAGTATGGAGCAGAATCTCTCCCAGATGGGGCAGACAGGCAGGCAGGCAGAGCAACCACGGCCCCTGCTAGGAAAGTACATTTTCTTTCTTGTGTTGAAGATGCCTTTCTGGGTCAGAATGTAGGCGATGCAATTGGAATCCAGATATTTCTTAGGATAATTTTTCCTGGCCGGTGTTAAAGGGCTTGAATCCAGAATACCATTTCCAGTTTACTTGGGATGGCAAACCTAGCTGTTTATTTCTTTTGCATTCCTGAGATTTCCTTGAAGTCTCCATCAAGCTAAGGTTTGTCCTTCCTTATTGATTCACACTGATATGTAGTTCTATTAATAAATATCAATTAAACAAAAGCAAACTTTTTTTTTAAAGTAGCGACATCCATAATTTTAAAATATGCTTTAAGGTGCTAACAAAAAGCTCCTTCTTTTGTTCCCTCCTGCCAACCCCCTTCTTAAATCTGGCAAGAGAAGGAAGTTAAATCCTTGATTCAAGCGAAGGTCTCAAATCAGCAGGAGAGAACAAGAAAAAAAAAGTATGCTATTAAAAAAGTAAAAGCGAAAACACAGTCTTGCAAAGGTACATTGTTTTTACACCCAGTTGCATTGTAAATGAAAGACCCTGGAATAAAATGCTTTGGAAACAAGTTTGCCACGGAAGAACTTTTATGCTGCAACCGATAGCTATCGTTTATAACGCACTGATAGAACTCTGTGATCCTAAATGCATTATCTGGAATAAAGTATGTTCAAATTGGTAGCCATTGTAAGGCTACAGTAATTGAGATTTGTAAGGCTAACGAAGTCCATCGGAATGTTAACACCCACATTATGGCAATAAATGTGATAGAAATCTAGAGCGTTTTTAAAATCTCAGTGCAGTGCGATCCAAAACAATCCCATAAATTTAGATTTGAATGATTTGCAATCCTTTGGATGTCAGCCAATAAATAGGACACTGGCTATTCATAAGACACTTGCAGAATTCCTAGGGCTTTAATTTAATGATGGGTCTGTGGGATGGGGATGGGAACAGAGGTGTAAAATGCGAATTACAGATACAGATGGACTCCAGAAGATGGTAGAGGACAGGAAGGCCTGGAGGAACGTTGTCCATGGGGTCGCGGTGGGTCGGACACGACTTCGCAACTAACAACAACAACAGATACAGAAGAGAAATGACTCTCCCGGATTATGTTTTCCGTTTCCCTCCATTAATTCAGCAAAACCATGTCATCTGATCAAAATATAATCGATGATGATGATGTTTATGATGGTGGTGGTGGTGGTGGTCGTGAACAACAGTAAAAGCTATTGGGATCATGAACGTTTTTGATATTGGGTCAAAGGTTACCAAATCGCAGCAAACTAAAGTACCAGGCGACAAGAAATTGACTGACAGTTTGAGCAAGGAAAAAGGCAAGGCTCTGAGTTATCGTACTGCCTTTTCCTAAAGATTTTAACCCTTCCGCGTTAAAAGCTTGGCATCTCAAGGGCACCGCGCCCCCCCCCATTTGGGAAAGGGGCAGCCGGTGGAAGAAAGGGAAGGCGACAAGGCCGCCGGGCAGCTGCTCTGCTTCCGCAAAGGCGCAGCGCCTCCTGTTGTTCGGTTGCGGCGCCAAGCGCGCACAGAGGGCCAGGAGGCGAGGGAGCGGATGCCTTTTTTTTTTTCACTTTTCCGACGGCTGGATCCGAAGAACGACGCCCAACGCCCAACCTGCCCAAGTGGCCTTTGGTAACTGACTTCCTTGGGCCGGGGAAAAGATGTACCGCTCGGCACTAGTCCACCACCCGGACGCGAGGTTTCATTCCGAGCCCTTGGCGGCGGGTGGACCGATTGGCGGACCTCTGGATGCCTCTTGCCACACTTTTAAAGGGGCCCGCGAAGGAAGACGAACAGCCAGAAGCGGGCTGCTAGTGCTGAGAGTGGCGGCGGCGGAGGCAGGCAGGCTCTCAAGAGCCTTCTGGCTCGGCGCTTCCCGAAGAGTGGGCGTGCTGCTGGGGGGTGGTCCCGGGGTTTCTCTTCCCACCTCCATCCTCGGCGCTCGGGGAGGGGGGGAGAGGCTCCTCCTTTAACCCACCGTTTCCTCCAGAGGATAATTTAACGTTTGCAAAGGGTGGTCGTGGCGGGGAGGGGCTGGGTGTGCCAGAGCAGAACTCCAGGAGAATTCGGAGTTTTTGTGGGGTTTTTTGGGGGGGAAACGGGGAGGGGAAGGAAGAAGGGGAGAGCCCTTCGACAGAAAATGCGGAGGAGAAACATTGCTTTGGAGCTGAAGCAAATGCATAAAACACGAGAGAGGGTGGCCCGGCTCAGGTGATGCAGCCCTAGCGGGGAGAAGCCGATTCAGGCTCTCCCGAAACCAGAAATGCTCCCAGCCGCCGCCTGCGCTGCCCGTCTTGGGCCAAGCAGCGCTCCCCCCCCTCCCCGGCCATCTTTGCCGGGATCCAGAGCTTCACTTCATCACTGCTATAAAGTACTCGGCCCGGGACTGGTTGCTGGCGCGATCAGCGTGGGGAAAAAAAAAAAAAACGACCCGAACATTGTCAGAGGTATCTCGCCGGCAGTACCCAGCCAAGCACTACTTACCTCAAAGAAAGCTAAGCGGGGTTGGGTTGCTTAAGGCTTGCTTAGGAGATCCGGGGCAGCCCAGGGCTGTAGGTTAGAGTGAGAAGTCGAAAAAGGTCCCCCCTGAAAAAGGCCGGGGAGGCAAACAAGGGCAGGGTGGTGGCCAAGAAAACCACCTGGATGTGTCCACGTGGCGTTCAACTCCGTAGTTCCGGGGGGAATTTTGGTCTTCGCTTTTTGAGCGCTGCTTCTGGGACAAGTCTTGAACTTGATCCACCCCTTGGGATATCTTCTCTCTCTCTCTCTCTCTCTCTCTCTCTCTCTCTCTCTCTCT